GAAGGGGGCAGTCTGTGGCGTTGGCAGAATGTGAGGCCAGTCTGTACTGAAGACCAGATTTTGCAGGCATGTTAGTCATGCCAAGGGCTTTGGAGGGAGGAAAGCATCCCTTTTATTTCTGAAAAGCATCCTACTGACTGTAAGGAGGCAAGAGTGGAAAGGAAGAGGCCAGCAGTATATTGAGGCAAGTGGCCCACCAGGGAGGCAGGTGGTAAAGCATGTATTTGGGGTACGGCTCATCACCGTTGTCACCAATGTCACTATTCCCCTGCTTCTGCACCAACAGAGCTACTGAGACGAGCTCCTTGTCACAGGCTCCACTGTGGGCAGTGGGCCTTTCAGTTCTGAGATCCTGTGTTTTCTCAAAAAAGGAAAAATGATAACAACCACCGTGCCTATCTCATCAGGCTCTAAGCATGGACTTCGAACGACACAAAGTGCTCTGTGAACAATGTGTTCAGACTTACTATCATTTTTATTAGAAAGGCTTCCCAGGGAAGGGAACTCTCCAGCTCCTTGTTCCCCCACTCCACTGAGTCCTCCCTAAAGGCTGCATGAACCACCACTGTTGTGCGGGTGTCTTGATTCCTCCATACATAATAGCTAATTTTAAGGACTGGATTTACTTGAGAACATTATTCAAGTAGATTTTATATTGTTAGAATGTTTCATACTGTAGCCATCCTGAATAGGTGTAGGGCTATCTTTGAGACACAGTGTAACCTGGCCTGTGTGTACAATTAAACTGCCAGGTCCAGGAAGCAGCAGCCAGTTGTATCTTGCACAGTCCCCAGTGTTTACTGGTAAATCTTAATGCTGTTGCTAACAGTGAGTTCTTCTAGTGTCTTTAAGATGGAATTAGGATGATAAAAATGGGATTCACACATTGCCTTTTTGGAACACAGTGCAGATATTGTACAGATAAGGCTCACCTCTCTAAATTCTAGGTTATCTCCTCAAACCCCCAAACCACCTCTCTAAATTTTAGGTTATCTCCAGAAGCCCCATCCCTGCCACACCAGCTAAGCTCAAGGGTTTTCTTGCCTCTGTGACACTGGCCAAATCCTTGGTGCCCTAGGAATCCTCCTGCTTTCCCTGGAGGGGTGGGTGAGAAGGGGCAGGATGCACCTTTCCTCTTTAATCAGGGGAGACTTTCCCAGGGACCCCAAGACTTAACCAGCTGCAGCTGTCCCCAACTCTGCTCGGTGGCAAGGCCCTGTAGAGCCCTTGCGGGCAGCTCAAATATCCCTAACCTTTGAAGAAGTTGCTTAGGGAAGCTATTTTTAATGCTGCCCTGAGTTGCCCTCCAGGGTATCACTGGGTTGTTTTAGCAGCGACCTCTTTCTACATCATCCCCAAAAGTGAGAAGATTGAATTGTAATCCCTAATCCTAAAATAGGCAAACTTTGCTCCTGCAAAGGACACTCTTGTCCTGATCTGGATCTGGGGCCTTGGGCCAGTGGCTCGGGGTCCCTCTTTCATCTCCCAGCCCTGATTTTGGCCCTGATAGATCCCAGTCCGTGTGTCACTTCCACAGGTGGGGGGACCCTCAGGGTGTTGCTGTCCCACCCACAGGTGGCGGGGACCTTCAGGCTGGCACCATTCCATCCACAAGTGGGGGGGGCACTCCCCCTGGCACCGTCCTACCCTTTCAGCTTCTGCTGTTCTTCTAATCTCCCTAGACAACCTCTCTGTTCACTTCCCCAGCTTCTCCCTGCAGCCCTTGGTCCTTCATGGGGAGTGTCCCACTCTGCCTCTGGAGATATGAGGGAAGGAAATAGGTCTCTGGGAGTAGGGTAAGGAGGGGGTGGTCTTGGGACCCATCCAGCTACAAACCCTCCATCCCCACAGGATGAAGAGAGGGGAGCTCTTTGATTACCTCACTGAGAAGGTCACTCTGAGTGAGAAGGAAACCAGGTGAGGATCCATTTGCCCCCATTTCCACTCCCTGTCCGAGTCCAAGTGGTACCGGCACCAAGGTCATGGAGTGGGCGCAGCATGCATTTGTGCGGGCTGGGGGTGTGCACTGCTGGCTTTGGTAGCCTCTCTCCCTCTTTGGCTCAGCCTAGATGGTCCCAGCCTGTCCTCCCACACTGGCAGTCTGGTGGGTATATGGGCTTTGGTCTCCCTGCTTGTTACCTCACCCTGCAGAATAGGAGGTTAGAGTGACATGTGCCTGTCCCATCCCAGAAAGATCATGAGAGCCCTGCTGGAGGTAATCTGCAATTTGCACAAACTCAACATTGTGCATCGGGATCTGAAGCCCGAGAACATCCTCTTGGATGATGACATGAACATCAAGCTCACAGACTTTGGTTTTTCCTGCCAACTGGAGCCAGGAGAGAAGCTGCGAGGTCTGGTAACGTGGCTTGGCCCATGTCAGGGGCTTAGGCTCTCTCATCTATGCTCCCAGGAACAGAGGTTGTCTGGATTTCTCCCCAAAACTTCCCCCCAGAATAAAAATCCTACCATTTCAGGGCTAGGTGTCTCTTCAGATAAGCCTCCTCCCAGGGCTGAGCCAGGTTCCCTGCCTGAGTTCCAGGCCAGGATGGCTAGACATGACCATGAAGCAACAGCCCCAAGCAGGTGGTCCTGTGAGCCAGCACCCAGCCCCTGCCCTTGACTCTGAAGCTGGCCAGTGTTAGAAGAGTCCCAGCCCAAGCACCATTTTGCTTTTGTCTCCATTTTTTTTTTTTTTTTTTTTTGGATCTTCCCCTTCCAAGTGCCCCATGCTGACCTGTCCTGAATATAACTATTGCTGCAGAGGTCTGTGGGACCCCCAGTTACCTGGCCCCTGAGATCATTGAATGCTCCATGAATGATGACCACCCAGGTTATGGGAAGGAAGTGGACATGTAAGTATGTTGCAGAAGGGTGACCCAGTGGGACAGGTATGCCCCCGTGGCTAGAAGCACGTGGCTGGGGGGGGGAGGGGATGGCAGGAGCTACAGCCAGCCCTCCTGCCTTCCTCCCTGTTCCACCTGGTACCAGGTGGAGCACAGGCGTCATCATGTACACCCTGCTGGCTGGCTCCCCACCCTTCTGGCACCGGAAACAGATGCTGATGCTGAGGATGATCATGAGTGGCAACTACCAGTTTGGCTCACCTGAATGGGACGATTATTCAGACACAGTGAAGGACTTGGTGAGAGACCACGCCTTCTGGCTCCGCCACTCAGGCGAGGGGGGAGCCCACCATGAGGGAGGGGGACATATCACTCTACAAAATGGAGGACCCTGCTGGGAAAGACCTTATGTCGTCTGAAGTGCTGGAGGGGACCCTGCCTGGATGTTTTCAGCTCCCCCCCCTTATTCTCTCAGGTTTCCCGCTTCTTGGTGGTGAACCCCCGGGGCCGCTGTTCAGCAGAAGAGGCCTTAGCACACCCATTCTTCCAGCAGTATGTGGTGGAAGAAGTGCGTCATTTCAGCCCCCGGGGCAAGTTCAAGGTACTGAAGCTCCCCTCCCACCCATCCTGTGATGGCTCCAGCTCAACTTCTGGCACCAGAGAGGACAGATGTCACCCATCTGGCTCCAAGAGCCTACGTCTCTGCAGATGCCGGAGGGGTGGGAATGGTAGGGGGGACCCTAGGAAAGGCCCAGTGGTAGGCACACAAGGCTTCCTGGCAAACAAGCTCAGGGAGTCCCTGCACTGCAAGGGGAAGGAGACAGGCGGGCAGGGGCTGGGGCCAGCTTCTCAGTTCTGGCTTTCCACAGGTGATCGGTCTAACAGTACTGGCTTCAGTGCGGATCTACTACCAGTACCGGCGGGTGAAGCCGGTGACCCGAGAGATCGTCATCCGCGACCCCTATGCCCTCCGGCCTCTGCGGCGACTCATCGATGCCTATGCTTTCCGCATCTATGGCCACTGGGTGAAGAAGGGGCAGCAGCAGAACCGGGCTGCCCTCTTTGAGAACACACCCAAAGCTGTGCTCCTCTCCCTGGCTGAGGAAGACTACTGAGGGGCGAGCAGGCGGGATAGGTGGGGCGGGGAGCGGGCAAGGAGGGAAAGCCATAGAAACAGAAGTTGAAGGGGTGAGATCATGTCCAAGCCTCTGTCCAGAGGGGGCACTTGGCCCTGGCCAGATCCCCTGGGCCTGAGGCCACTATCCCTCTCTGGGAAGAGGCTGTGCACAAGAAGGGCAGGGCGCTCCCATCACACGCTGATGAGTGAGGTCAGGGCCTGTCCCCATGGAGGGGAACTGCTTCTCTACTTCCCAGCTGTGGCACCATCTCAGCTTCTTCTCATGGGAGGCCCAGAGTTCCGGACGCTTGTGCGCCCTTCCCTTAGGGTCCCAGGGTGAGGATAAAAGAGAACAGTCTGAGATACACAATCACAAGAGATTTTACTGACCTCACAACATCCAGTGACACCATGGGAGCCGGTTCTTTTCCAGGGACGCACGCTTAGAGGCACATGGGAGCCCTTATCTGATTAATAATAGAAAGGGAAGGTTCTGGTATTTGTCTCTCTGGAATATCATTCACTTTGTGACTCTCACAATACAGTTTTGTCTGGTAAATCATTCGGTTCCCCTAGACCCTTTTAAGACTGACATTGTGCTTTAAAGAGCCCTGTTACTGCATTCTACATACAAGTAGCGGAAATTAGTTTCCTTCCTTCCTCAGTGTAGTGAAACACTACAAATGCGGCGAATGAAAGAGGTATTTTCCTTCTACAGCAATATGCTGGGAAAAAAGAGAGAAATGGGGAATTCTGCCTTGAGAAAAACAATGTCGGATCCTTGAATCAGACAGTGAGAAAGGGGACTTAAAAATTTTAACAAGGTGCCTTTCAGAGCACTCCGGCCCAATTGTTTTGGGCCCTGTATGGTTAAGATCTGACCCCTAAGAGAAACGCCCAGCTCCCGGCCACAATCCATAAGTTGGGCCCCTTCTCCAAGAGACAGTGGCACCCCTCCTCTGAGGTCAGAACCTCTCCTGGCCTGGTGAGAGATGCCTGCCACAGAGGGATGGGGGATGGGGAGGGAGCTCATTCCTGACACTAAAGTTGAAGAGCCTGGAGTTTGGCTGAGTCTGGAATGTGGCCAGGGGAGTAACACAGGCACCACGGGGCTCTTCTCTTTGGCTCCACGTAGCTGTTCACAACTCCCCAGGAAGTCGTCCTGCACTAGATGCACAGCGGAAGCCCAGGTTGTCTGAGGCTGAATCTGGAGTGTTGCCCATCCTGGCATCAGAGAAAAGGAGAAAAAATGGACATTTGTTGAAAAGGGGCCTGGAGCCTTAATCCATTTTCCTGCTCCACCTCCTAGGCCTTGCTGTGGTCCAGGGTGCAGGGGGGCGCTGGAGGACGCAGTCTAGAAAGAAGCCTGGGGTGAGGGCGCTCCTGGGGAAAAAGGGAAAAGGGCCCTGGGACAGGGTGGAGGAAGTGTGAATGAGCAGCCCTGAGAATCTGCTCTGGAAGGCAGGAAGGGCAATGACTAGTAGCTTTAGTTGCTGGTGGTTTAGAATAACTCAGCCGAAAAAACCTGCCAGTAAGAAGTGAAATATCGGAGTGCCAGTGAGTACTTTGTAGGTTTTAATGAACTTTCACATATTCACTTGCCATTTCTCATCACCTCTGGCACGGAGGGTTTGTTCGCCATTTTACCCACCCAGCAGATGTAAATGTCCTGCCCAGAGCCAACCACTGCCTCATGGGCACAACGGATTTAGTGGCAAATCCAGCTTCTTGGTTCCCAGGCCAGTACCTTCTCCACTACTTTCTCCTTAAGGAGGTGAGGGAAAGCCCGGGGCCTCAATATGGCAAAGAAACGTCTGCAAACCTGACTTCCTCAGGCCACAGAAACCACGGTCTCTTTTTAGTCATTATGGAACCCAGGAATAGGAGGGGTCACAGGGAGATCAAGCAAAATAAATGTAAAGAAGTAGAGAGAGGCCCAGCAGTAGCACTCAGGTGCCAGCACTAATCATCTGTGTGAAATGAGAAGGTCCCAGCACCTCCCTAAGCCTATTTTTCCTTGACTGTAAAACAAAATGGTTACAGAAAATGACTTTTCACGTGCTTTCCAGTTTGAAGAGTCCATACTTCCATGACCCCAGGCCACGATCTACTGACATGGCCATGCCACCCCCTGCCTCCGCACAGCCAGTTATGAGGACAAGAACAGAAAGAAAACAGGGTATGGGACACAAAGTCCCTCTGGGTGCTGAGAGCTGGCAAGAAAAGGCCCAAGTGGCCCTGGGCTCTTTTGCTTCTCATGGCAAGTGCTGCTCGTTCTCTCTTCTGTGCCCAACCCTGGGTACGGATGGAAGCATGGAAGCAGTGCTGATACCAGCGCTGGCACTGCTCTGACCAGGACCCCACCCTCAGCCCCCAGACCCCAGGCTCCTTACCTGGTGGTGACCCGGGCCCGGTGATTGGCAGAGCCATCAGCTGTGTCAATCCAGGATGCTCCCCGGAGGACACGCATGTCCTGGTCAGTGGCCTGGTACGTCGATGCTGTCCACTCCCACACGTTGCCCATGAGGTCATAGAGTCCTGCAGCACAGCAGAGGGGGGTCATCCCAGGCTGGGTAGCAACAAACCCCTCCCCTGCCCCCTATATATGAAGTCTTCAGGGGAGCAAATGTTTCCCCGATGGTGTTTCTCTCTGCCTCATCGATCAACAGAAGATTCCACCAAGCAATTTGTGAGTGTTGACAGCAATGAGACAGGAAATCTTACCATAGTTATTCTGTGGGGGGAAAGCATTCACTGGGGAGACTCCATGGAAGCCATCCTCAGCCTTGTCACCCTTGGGGAACTTTCCCTGAGAAGGAAAAATTTAGACTAAAAAATTGACCATCCTGTTCCAAGGCAGGTGTCTCTTGGAAAACCAAGGTCAGTTGCTGTGTCATCTGTGGTAGGGTGAGGGGAATGGGGAAGTGTTCTGAGGTGCCCATCCTAAGCCCCCAAACTAGTTTCCTCATGTCCTCCACCATCACCTCCTGGCTGGATTAGGATGGGCGTGCTTTCCCCTGTGCCCAGAGGGGTCTGGATCAAGCCCACCCCACTCCCACTTTCTCACTCTCAGCAGCTCCCACTCTCAGAGGGTTCCCTCTGCTTTGAATGCTATGTGTTTCGGTGCCTTGGGAAGAAAGGCTCTCCTCCCCTCCTCTGTGCTCAGCACCACCTGTCGTCTCCAGAATGACCGATGCCCACCCTGTGCTCTCCTGTACCATCTTGTCCCCTTCTACCACCAACAGGTTTAACTTTCCCATGTCTGCCCTGACTCTATGCTCATCTGTTCTTAACCGCCAAAATTCCTGAAAAAGGAACCTTTTTATATCAGCATATTTGCTGATGCAATGTGTCCAACCTGTTCGTTCTTCTCATTAAAACTGGGGTTCATCTCCCACTACTGTATGGAAGCTGCCCTTACTAAAGGGGAGATGAAAGGGGCAATAATTTACTCAATAGCACTCGATTTGTGCTATGGCTGCTACATTTATCTCTTTTACAAGGTTGTGAGGCAAGTATTTTCTCCCTTAAAAAAAACTGGAAACTGAGGCTCAAAGTGGTTAACTTATCAAAATGGTTAACTTAGCAGTGAAGAAGTCAGATCTGTCTTTTTGCAAAGCTTTGATCCCAAGATCATCTAAGATCAGTTTACCCCTCAGGTCCTTTTTAATGCTTCCCCCTGCAATGCTGACACTGTAGCACTTCACTCTACAGAGTTTCCCTAGGGAATAACATTCTTGCTCAGGATATATGGCGATGACTCCCAAACCACTTGCTCTGACCCAGACTCCTGTCCTAAGTTCCAGACTCATATTTTTTTTTTAATTTTAATGTTTTATTTATTTTTAGGAGAGAGAGAGAGACAGCGTGAGCAGGGGAGGGTCAGAGAGAGAGGGAATCACAGGCTGAAACAGGCTCCAGGCTCTGAGCTGGCAGTCAGCACAGAGCCCGACGCGGGGCTCGAACCCACGAACTGCGAGATCATGACCTAAGCGAAAGGCGGACGCTTAACCGACTAAGCCACCCAGGCGTCCCTCCAGACTCATATTTTTGACCTTTCAGCATATAAATGACCCAAAGGCATCTTAAACTAAGCTGATCCTAAACTGATCAAGTTCTATCCCTCTGACCCCAAATGCGTATCATCTCTTCTGGATAATGGTAGCGCCATCATCCTGCTGCCCAAGCTTAGATTAGTGCTCAAACCCAACTCTCTTTCACCTCTCTGCATCTGATTAATTACCAAACTCTATCTTCTCAGGCATGCCTCTTCCGTGTGGCTGCCTCTCCATTCTGCTTCTGCTTAATTCATATGTTCAAAATTCCCTGGGCCATTGCCACAGCCTCGAATTCAGAGACACCCCCCTCCCCACCACCATTACAGTTCCGCTTTATTTGGTCCTGTGCAAATTAGCAACAACTAGCATACTGTCCAAATCAAATGATGCTGTTAGTCCCCCTGCCGGCTCCCCACTGCCTACAGGGTAAGATCTAAAACCATATCTTGGCACACCCGGTCCTTCATAATCTGCCTACAACCACTGCCTACCTCATCTCCTATACCTCCCATCTCACTGTGCTCCAGTCTTTCTGAATTTGTCCCATCTCTGAACACACAGTACCCTTTCTTAATACAGTGCTTACACTCATGCTGTTCCTTTAGCTGTGAATGCCCTTTCCTACATTTTTCATTTAGCAAACTCCAATTCCATCAGCTCCAATGTCATCTTCTCTGCTGCAACTCTCCAGCGTGTAGCCAGACGACACTGTCTTTTGCTTTACCAGTTTACCAGTTTAGCAGTCCCTTTAGAACACAAAGCCCTCTGAGTCCCGCAGCCCAGAGTGACGCCTAGCCTACAGCAGGTTTTGATCAAGGCTTTAAGAAGGCAGAGGGGTGAGGAATCTATGTCTTACCTGCCACAGGTTGGTGCGGTTTGGCTGGAACTGATTACCCCACGGGTAAACCTGACCTGCAGGGAGAGCCAGGAGATAGCAGGGGAGGGGGAGGTGAAGGGTTGTGGAACAAGGGAAAGACAGAAATAGTCAGGGAACCAAAAGGAAGTCAGGAGGTGATGAGAAAAGAAGAGAGAGATTACTTTTATTTCCCAGGCCTGTCCCTTCCCCTCACTGTGCTACACTCAGAGCCCTTGGCCTTCTGATCTGTTCCAGGACAGTGCAATCCCAGCTGTGGTTCTGACTCAGGCCAGTCTGTAAACTAACTCTTACCGGACACGTCCAGATTAAGTACAGAAACTGGGAGTAAGAATGAAGAAACTTGTCAACTAGACTTAGATTGGATGAATAAACCAAGCACCCTCATTCATCACATTAATAATTTCGACCACTGGGATAGCTGGTGTGCATTCAAAGAGTAGTATAGGTGCCGAATGCGGGGAGTTGCTGCTTCCTGCTCCTAACTTTATGTTTAGGTGGGACCGCAGAACAACAGAGTCATGAGCAAATAGTGACTCTTTATATTAGACCCTTGACACCTATGGAAAAGGCCGTCTGGGTAGGTGCTTTTCTTTTCCCCTGTGCTACAGTGTTCTGATCGTATTTATTGAAATGTGACATGTCTGGGTGGAATCTCCAAAAATAACAAATTTTATGTTGCTTCCTTCCATTCCTCCAGTTCGTACTTTTTATGGCACTGTACAGAAGTATGGGTCTGAGATGGATGAGAACTGAAAACAGGAACAACTGACCCTTCAGCACACAGTTTAAGAAGCACTGCTCTCGGGAGTATGGACCCTTCCCACCCTTCAAAGCCCCCCAGGCAGGACCGGATGGGAGAAGAATAAAGGGGAGTCTCCCTGCTGACGCTATACCCGTCAAGCCCCCTCGGGCAGCAAACTCCCACTCTTCCTCGGTGGGCAGCCGTTTCCCCCGCCAAGCACAGTAGGCACGAGCATCATTCCAGCTCACGTGTACCACTGGGAGCTCCAGTCTCTCTCGGATGCCAGAGCCAGGACCTGCAGGCTGACAGCCAGGATGAAGTGAGACAGGCTTCTGGGAGCTCGTGGAAGTCTGAGGAAGGCTAGGCTTAGGGTGCCTGAGTTCAGCTTTTACCACTAGATGGAGCAAGGAAGTTGGAGGAGACAGCCTGGTGAGTGAGGAGAGGCCCAGGGTCAGAAAGGAAGAAGTGGCGTGGGCGATGGGAAAAAGGATCAGGGCACAGGAAATAGGGATGCTTGGCTGTGTCCTCAAAATTTCGGGTCATCCTTTTTAATTCTGTATTTCTAAATGGACAAGGGGTCTAGGGAAGCCAGGGCTTCAGAATAAGAGTCAACAGGGACAGAAAACGAGGCAGCTGAACCAACCCTTACCTGTCTCCAGAATGCTCTTTCCACTGGAAACCACCAGAGAAGAGACTGCAAAAAAAGAAGCAGCAGGACTGGAAGATGCTTTGACCCAGCAGGGCCACCTTCCTGACTGACACACAGGAGGCAGAGCAGACCCCGCAGGCTGAGCCGCAGGTGGTCCAAGTGGGGCTGTTTCTGGAACCTTTACATGACCGTTATTTGAGGGGATGTTGAGATGTTCTCTTGTCAGTTCCTGGAGTAACTTGAACCCCACGTGCGATCTGGGTTTTTACAGAGTCTCTCTATGCAGAAACCGGCACAGGGTTAACGTCTCAGGAGTGTGTTCATCTGACTCTTCCAGGGGGGGATCTCTCTTGCTTCCTCCCCTGCCTGCGGCTCTCAGGTGACCCCATAACCCACAGGATTCTCTGTCCAGGGCCCACTCCTGCAGCTGAAAGCCCAGGTTCTCTCACCTCCATCTGATGGGTCACGTTGTTTCTAAGCTCATCGGAGACAAAGTCCTCAAAGACAAAACTCCACCCAAACTTCTCAGCCTCAGTCCGGTACTTTTTTTCCCTGACAAACTCCCTGAAAAGAGAGAGATTTCACTCGGTTAAGCTGCTACGGTTCCGTGTCCCACTGTCACCCCCTCCTGCGCCAGAAAACCTCGTATATCCTTTTCCTTTAAGTCACACATCACAGAGTTTCCATCAACAACAAGGAATTAACGTTAAAGTCTGAGTAGGAGGTTTGCCTTTAAAATCTGTTGCCGTATGTGTAATTCACATGTAGTAAAATTCACTTTTTAGTGCAATTTTGTGAGTTTTGACAAAGCTTATCATCACTGTCACAATCAAGATATAAAGCAATTCTATCAACCGCCTCCAAAATTTCCCTCATGTCTCTGCAAACCAATGATCTGTTTTTTGTCTATAGTCTTGCCTTTCCCAGAATATAAATTCACGTACATCGAATCAGACAGTACGTAGTTTTGAGGTCTGGCTTCTTTCACTTAGCATAATGCTTCTGAGAATCATCCGCATTGTTGCCTGTATTAGTTTGTTCCTCTTTGTTTACAGAGTATCATCTGATTGTGTGGAGGTTCCGTATTTTGCTTATCCATTCACCACTTGCAGGTCATTTGGGTTATCTCCAGTTTTTGGAGGTTATGAATAAAACCACTGAGATTTAAGCGTGGGGAACAAGTCTGTTTTCTGAAAGGTCTTCATAACACCCGCGCTCTCACAACAATCACGAGAGGGAGGCAGAACATGATTATCTCCATCTAACAAATGAAAAAACCCAAATCAAATAAAAATGATGTACTGAAATTTTAGTATGGATTTTCCCATAGTTTGGTATGGTTTAGCAAATTTCAGCATGTAAAACTGCCAGGGTAAAATGAATTGTTTTCACTGGGCTAATAGTACCCTGTCTGTGCTGGCCCTCTGACATGAGATGAGACTCTCCACCCATCAAAGGGGCATTGAGAATGGAGGAGGTGATCGGATGTAGTAGCAATAGCTATTCACCAACCTCAGAGCATCTGAGTAGTTTGAAAATTTTTTTTACCAGAGAGGCAGAGACAAATCATGAGAGTTCTAGGCAAAGTTTAGGGGCTTGCTGGAGGTATATCATAAAATAGGTCATAAAAAATAATAAATAAATAAATGTCATAATTTGAAATATAAAAGAACACACACTGTTCATCTAGCTCGGTAGCTATTTCTGGTGGTCATGATATAGTGCAAGCCTGATCAAAAGTGATTTCTCCTTCAATTTTAATAACTTTCCTGTTTAAAGATACTTTTAAAAAGCATGTATAAGTGCTGGGTGGCTTAGTCGGTTAACCATCTGACTCTTGGTTTCAGCTCAGGTCATGATCTTACGGTTTGTGAGTTTGAGCCCCGCACTGGCTGTACGCAGCCTGCTTGGGATTCTTTCTCCCCACCCTATGTCTTCTCCCTTGAGCTCACTCTCTCTCCCTCACTCTCAAAATAAATAAATACTTAACAAAAAAGCACATATGTGTAGCACACATGTATAATAGAGAAATGAGAAAGCACAGTATATAATATAAAAAGAAAAAAAATGAAATCATCCATTATCACACCAACTAAGACATATCCTTGCATATTGTTCCCTGTCCTGCCCCCCCAAAGAAGGATTTTTAAATAGTGCTTCCCTGGTATTATTTTCATTTGGAAGTCACAAAAACATGGGCAAAATCTGTTAACTAACACAATGTTACATCTCCCAGTTCTTTTAAATGCATGTGCACTCTATACACATACTTTTAAAAATGGAATCATACCCTGTACATTGTGTGTAAGCTACTTTCTTCACTTAACATCTCATAATTACCTTAAAAAAAAAAGATTTGAATGTTTATTTATTTCTTTGGGGTGGGGGAGAGAAACCTCAGCTGGGGTGGGGCAGAGAAAGAGGGAGAGAGGGGGGGGGGGAGAGAGAGAGAGAGAGAGAGAGAGAGAGAATCCCAAGCAGGCTTCAAGCCATCATGTCTTCAACCCAGAAACCATGAGATCATGACCTGAGCTGAAATCAAGAGTTGGATGTTTAACCAACTGTGCCACCCAGGCGCCCCTCCCTCTTTTTGACAAGAGGATTTTAATGGCTGCCAACTATTCTGTGATGTTGATATGATATTTAAGCAATCCCTATATTGTTAATATTTGCTTACAAGTCATCTTTTTAGCTAAGTGTTTTTTGGACAACCTTAATACTTTAAGGAAAATCTCTAAAGGTGGAATCACGGAGTCAAAGGGCCTGAGGAATACACCAATAATTCTTATGCTTACTGTGTCTCCTGAGTAAATTTTTCCCTGTAACTTTTTTTAAAGAGTTTTAAGTCCACATGCAACATTTAAGTCATTTCCCACATTTGCTTTGTCTTTCTGTTCCCTCCTCTTCCTTTTCCCACTCCTCTCTATATTCCCCCCAGATCATTTGAAGGTAAGTTACAGGTATCACCTGGATCATTCCCCACTTTAGCCTTCACAAAACATACCAGCTTAAGGAAAATGAGGCAGCTCGACATGGCTTCCAAGACTGAGTTGAAATCACAATGTTTGTCCTAAAACAATGCCATTTCCCTAAGTAACTCTAAAGGTTATTTAAAGACTCTCAGTTACTATGACCCTTCTCCCAATCCCTTCTCCCTGTGGAAGAGGTTTTTGTTGAGTGTCTGACTTCTGCACATATTTCTCAGTGTTATACCCAGTGTAACGGAAAATCCACAGGCTCAAGGGCCAGAGGATTTGAGTTCCAGGCCCAGCTCTGCCACAGAGTCTCCAGACTTCAGATTCTTCATCTGAAAAATGTAGACAGCACTTATCTCATAGTACTATTGGAAAGATGATATGTAATCGTGAACAAGTTAGTTTCCTTTTAGGTATCAGGGACAAAAATTAGAAAGAGCCTTTACCACTCCTCGAAGAACACCTGATGTACCTGAAATCTTTGTTGGTGACAGGAAATATATCAATGGCAAAGGGTTTTACTGTCACCTCCCGGACAGGCCCTTCACCATCTCTGCCATCTGGTGAATTTGTTCCCATCTGGAATCTCCCACCTGCTAGCTGGACCATGCTAGTAGCCTGCCCATTCCCTGCAAAGAAAAAGGAGCATCATCAGTAATACATGAATATATATAAAACAAGTGACAATATTTGGACCATACATAATACTCACAATGGTATAATGAAAAAAAAAATGGAGGCTTAAAATTTTGGCTTTAAACTCTTATTCTGCCACTTAATTTGTTGGGTGACCTTAGGCAAATAAGTTCATCTGAGTTTTGGTTTCTTTACCTACAAAATGGAGATATCTAGCTATTTCATAGGTGTGGCTGTATAAATTAAAATTACCACACGTGAAATGTTTTGAGTGTATTGTAATGATCCAACAAAGGTTTATTTTCTTCCTTACTGCTCTATTCCTGAACACAATTCTTTGTCTCAGCTAGCTGAATCTAGACACTATATCCTGAAATACATCTAGCACCTTTCTACCCATACTTCTGCTTATGTTGTTTCTCTCCCTCTTCTTCCCCATTTCTCAATGATTTTCATCATTATATCCTCCAGAAAGAAAAGGACTACATCTATTTTGCCAGTGTATTCCTGGCATCTAGCAGAAGATGCTTAATTGAATAAGCGCCTTCATATCTGCTGTTTAAACACCTCAGAAAACCAGAATTAAAAGTATCTTTATTATTTTTTTAACATTTTTTATTTTTGAGAGACAGAGAGAGCATGAGTGGGGGAAAGACAGAAAGGGAGACACAGAATTCAAAGCAGGCTCCAGGCTCTGAGTTGTCAGCACAGACCCCGAGGCCGGGCTGGAATCCACCAACTGAGCCACCCAGGCACCTCAAAAGGATCTTTAATTCAACCCCTTTAATGGGGGGGGGGGACCTTAAAGGAAAAACTACTTAAAGAACTAGTTAGGAGGGACAGCACTAGATCCAGGTCTCCTTACTTCCAGGTTAGTGCTATTTCCAACCTGCTACACTTGTCTTCACACTTTGGGGTGTTATGTTTCTACCTAAGGATGTCTAAGTATTGTAAGTTCCTCAATGCCAAGTCCACCATCTTTTCATGTTTCTCTGTCTAGCTCTCTTATTCTCCTTCTGACACACTCACACTGATGATTTCATCTACTTCAAGGGAGGAAAAAATGGACAGGGAAATCTGATTAAAAAGGAATTAAGAAATAACATATAACTGCAATGTATGAACTTTATTTTGACACTAACTCAGTTAAGTAAACTATAACACAGTAGGTGAATATGAACACTAACTGGATGTTTAAGGATACTAATGACAATTGTTAGTTTTTTAAGATAAAGAGTACGGTTCTTTTCTTCGTTACTTCTTGTCTTTTTGGCTATTCAAGCTGTGTATTTACAAATAAAATTATGTAATGTTTGAATTCACTTCAAAAAGGCCCCAGGAGAAGGGGAAAGTGGGATACCAAATCAGCAAGATTAGTTATAAACTGATACCTGTTTTTAAGCTGAGTGACCAGTACACAGGACGGGGTGTTTTTATATTCTTTTACTTTATGTTCGAAAGATTCCAAAATAAATCAAAAGCAGTTAGATAAGGAGAGGAGGGTTAACCACCACGCCAAGTTGGCCGCCTCCGGGAGGCGCCTCAGGCTGCTCCAAGCCCATCCAGGAAGCCGGCGGTGGGGCCACGGGTCCCTTTCCCGACCTGGGCAGGGGACCCACCCCTTCCCTGATGTTTCTTGAGGTTCACAGGGGCAGGGGGCAGGCCCAGCACACTAACCTAGCACGAGCCAGGGGCCAGACAGGAGCAGCAGCAGCAGAATTAGCAGCCGTGGTGAGGAGCCCATGCCGGTGACGCGGTGACACGGCCAGAACGCATTGCCGTGCAGCCCTTCTGCGCATGCACAATGCGTGCACCACCTCGGCCACCGTACCGCTGGCAACGCCTCTTTAGAGCTTCCCCCAACCCCCACTCCTTTGGTCAAAAGGGTTGGATTACTGTGGCTGGGAGCCAGAGAAGCGGTGGTATCCAGGGACTGTGGCGTCCCACAAGCTCAGTACATTTCGACAAATTTCCTGGGTTTTTATATTCAAGTTCCTTTTGGGCCCTGGAATACCATTTCAAGATCACAGAAAAGGTTTCAATTTAATATTTATTGCACACTCACTGTAGGTAACTGCCAAGTCCTCAAAAATACAAGGCTTTGCAACAATTTCACTGTCAAAGGCTGCAAAGGAGCTCTACCAACTATAAAAACAATTTTGTGAAAACGGGGAGAGAACAGTAACTTGGGTGTGAAAAAGACGACACTATAGCTTGGGATGGATGGGCAGGTACTTCAGCATAAGGCCAGGGGCAGGGGTGTGAAAATCTGGTCCACATGAACATCTATCCTTTAGCCCCCATGTCTTAAAGGGTGTTTTTACCTCTGTCTCCTCTATTTCTAGTTTTCTCTCTTCATACTCTGTTTATTCAACTCCCTTGCCCCTACTTCACCCAACTTTTCTGGGGAGCATTTCAGCAAAAGTACTTTAAAAGTACTAAAAGTCCAAACAAATGATCCAACAGTTTTACTCAGGAATTTATACTAAAGAAAGAGATGCTTCCAAAATCTTAAGGTACCTTAAGTATGATTTACATTTGCATTAGAACTTACAAGTGTGACAAAAGGGAATCACTGGATAAATTAAAATAGATCCATTAGAAGAAATTATTAAACCAGTAAATTTGTTTTTCAAGGACCATTTAATAACAAGGTAGATAACATATACTTGTCTAACACAGTACTTTTAGATCACTGAAGCTAAAGCAAAACATCCTGGTTCATTGAGTGAAAATGGTCTGCTTAATATGTATAAACTGCAGTGCAATTAAAAAAAATACTGTAATTATAATTTCAGAACTTCAGAATTTGAGTGTCAGTGTTCTTTTTCATATGGGAAAAGAAAATGCTTTTGAAAATCATTTGAAGCTTGGATGAAAATTCCATAGTTATATTCTTAGGATCACTCCATAGTCTTCATGATACAGATGACACAAAGGAAGCTTCAATTCAACCTTTTAGAGAAGACATTCCAGCTCGCATGATCTCATCAACCAGGAGAATGTTGGTGGCAATCACAGTGCTGAAAGGTGACGGAAAATCAGATGGATCAGATGTGACATACGAACACCAAACTGCAAATTATATCCAATTAAGTTTCTCCTTTCCCCTCCAAAACATAGAAGGCTAGTTTAGCTTCTATACTTTCAGCTGATTACATTTTTATGAAAGAAAAAAACAAAAAAACCCAAGTAGTTAAACATACCAAATTAAGAGTATGAGAATTCCTTAAAGGTTATTTTAGTTTTGGCTTTCTCAAACTTACCAGGAGTGAAGAAGCTGTTTCTTTACACAATAGTTATCCCATATGCCTACTTCAGCAGCTACCATTGGCTCACCTGTAAAGTAACCCAGTATTCTTAAAAATCACACACAGAAGGTTGTAAGATCAGAACGCAAAGAGGACAAAGTATTTTGTGATTTGCTCATCACTGTTCTCATTATCCAAAGTTCCTCAATTAGTCCACTTATGCTCCAAACAAGGATCTCTACTCAGAAGACATCCAGTAATAGTAATGTACTATTTGGTTACCAAATGTCTGAACATCTCTTATTTTTCCAGACACATTCTTATTTGTTCATATTAAAGGAGAGCACCTGAACTGGCCAAATGGGCCTATTCATTTCCCTCATTCCAAAAACCTTTTCTGTTAACCTGAATGTATAGGATGCTGTTGAAAATAACAGGTCTTACAATTACTGCACACGTATACCTGTTCTCTTTCTTCCACTCTACTTTTTCCCAACATTCTTTTGTTCCCATTTTTGATCCTCCTTGATTTTACCTCACCTGAATCTATAGTTCTCCTCCTATAAACATTTGTGTTCTCTTACCTGTGTTCAAATCCACACCCACAAGTTGACCTGATTCTGAATGCTCTGCTTGAACTTTAACTAGTGTTTCCTGAAGGTCAAAACCAGAATTCTGAGCAAGAACCTAAAACAAATAAATTTAATCCTTTAAAAGACAGAACTCTAAAAAGTGATAAGCAGTCTACAATAAATGAACCATAATTCCAATGAGTAAAATCAAACAAACAAAAAAAACCCCTAATGTAGACAGACCTGTATTTATGTTCACTTCAGAGAATAACTAAATATAACATTTGTTACTAAACAAATTATTAACCCACCCCAAGCCCAGCAATACACTGGTCATAAACTTTACCTCTAAAACAGCATACATGGGAATAAAAACAAAAAGCAAGCTTGTACTCGAGTATAACTCCTACACTGTAAACTCTTAATTAACATAGTTTATCTCCTGCCATCTGAAACTTCAGATACTCAACTCCCTTCCCTCCCTTCCATGGGAACCAAATACATTTGGATGAGTGATATCTGCTCTAGGTATATTAGGGAGAAAATAAATAAAACTTGTTTACTCAAAATCTACAGTATTAAAAAAAAATCCCACTGTCAAAAAGCTTTCATCAGGTAAATCACTGTGATGTAGTTAAGAAAACGGTATTCATACCTTGGGAATAATGAGCAATGCATCAGCAAATGCTTGCACTCCAAGTTGGGCCCTGCCTTTTACACTGGGCTTATATTTAATCAAGGCCTCTGCCATTGCCACTTCCACTGCACCAGCACCTGGAACTACACAGCCTGTGGGGGGAGAAAGAGAGAAATGTTGAGCTGCAATATACCATCCATCCCTCAAATGGCAGAGGCATCCACTCCTCTAGTAAACAAGAACAGTACAAATGTGGAGGATTTGGAGGCTGGCGTCAAGGGTATTGCCATCATTTTCCCAGCCTTTGGATCAAAGGAGGAGGAATTTTTTTTTTTTTTTTTTTTTTACAAATAGTTTATTGTCAAATTAGTTTCCACATAACACCCAGTGCTCATCCCCACAAGCGTCCTCCTCCATGCCCCTCCCCCCTCCCCCCCACATCCATCAGTCCTCAGTTTTTGTCAGCATTCAAGAGTCTCTCATGGTTTGCCTCTCTCCCTTTCCCCCACCATTTCCCCCCTTCTTCTCCCCCTTGTTCCTCCGTCAAGTTCCTCCTAATCCTCCTATACGTGCAACCATATGATATTTGTCCTTCTTTGCCTGACTTATTTCGCTCAGCATAACACCCTCAAGGTCCATCCATGTTGCTACACATGGCCAGATTTCACTGTTTCTCATTGCCATGTAGTATTCCATGGTATAGATAAACCACATCTTCTTGATCCATTCATCTGTTGATGGACACTTAGGCTCTTTCCATGTTTTAGCTATTGTGGAGAGTGCTGCTATGAACATTGGGGTACATGTGCTCCTATGCCTCAGCATTTCTGTATCCCTTGGGTAAATTCCTAGCAGTGCTATTGCTGGGTCACAGGGGAGTTCTATTGTTAGTTTCCTGAGGAACCTCCACACTGTTTTCCAGAGGGGCTGTACCAGTTTACATTCGAATGTAGGATAATTTTTAAGGAAATTAACAAACATACATAAAAGCCACTCATTTCTTGAGAATTCAGCATAACCACCACAGTGTTAATACTGAACTTGAAAGCAATACAAGCAACACATCAAATAGCAAAATGGCTCAATTTAACTAGTACTTGGAAGCTCCTGCAAGGTCTTAGCATTAGTTCATTTATTTGTATCCATTTTTAATCGTGATATGCTATAAAAAAGCTTAGCATACCATTACAGGCATCTTAAAGGGAAGACTACTTTTGCATGGTGTCTGGCTGTGTAAATTATGGATAAAAAGAACACAGTATTCAGCCATGCCTTTCACACTAGCAAAAGAATATAAATACAATAAGGACCTTACCGTCATCAATAGCATTTTTAACAGCCCTCAAGCCATCTCTTATTGCGTCTTTGATCTGGGTTAGTGTGTGCTTATTTGGTCCTTTGACCAATAATGTGACAGAGCGAGGGTTGTTACATTTTTCAATAAAGGTGAATTTCTCTTCTCCCTATGTGAAAAAGAGATATTTTCAAAAACAGGATATGGTTACACAAAGAATGAAGACAAGAATAGCTTACGGAAGAATAAGTAGTATATTAATAAGGGAACAACATACCAATCACATTAATAAATTACTTCCTTAAAAAGAAATGTGATTATTCCCATCAATGGCTTACCATTACCATACATAAGCATCAAAATGTATGTAAACAAACCAAAAATCTGATCCTAAGTTTGAATGAATTTTTACTACTGAAGAACTCACGAACCAAAAATCATTGTATTATCTTCAGAAGGAAAATACACTTACCAATGTATACTCATACACAAGTCCTGCATGTCCCAAACAATCAGGATTTAGGTCATCAAGGGAATTTAGAGCTACTCCACCACAAGCAAGAGTCAGCCTGAAATATTTAAAGTGTTTTAAGGGAAACGTGTAAGTGGCTTTGTTATGTCTGAAGAGATTAATGATTTTTAGGAAGCAATCTTTCAGAATTACGTGCCAAAATTAATTTTTTTAATATTAAAAAAAATTTTTAATGTTTTACTTATTTCTGAGAGAGAGACAGACAACATGAGCAGGGGAGGGTCAGAGAGAGAGAGAGGGAGATACAGAATCTTAAAAAGGCTCCAGGCTCTGAGCTACCTCTCAGCACAGAGCCTGACACAGGGCTCGAACCCACGAACTGTGAGATTACGACCTGAGTCAAAGTCAGACACTTAACCGACTAAGCCACCCAGATGCCCCTCAAAATTAATTTTTTAAAATGTATTTTAACTTAAGCCATCCCATTCACCACCAATCAGCTAAAAACCGGTCTTTTCTCCAAACTCACCACTTAAACTAGTCTTTCAAAGTTAGAAAATCCTCCTCTGTTAAGAAATCTAAATAAAGGTGAACAAAAGCTCTTTATTGTGGTGAGCTCTGAGGAAAAGTAGTTCTCTGAAACCCCTTCATGCTATCTCTTGACATGGCAATGTACATATACATTTCATGGTTTAAAACCAAAACAAGTATATACCAATGTTCACAGCAGCATTACAACAGCCAAAAGGAAGAAACTCAAATGTCCACTGATAAAATGGATAAAGAAAATGTGATATATCCATACAGTGGAGTATTAGTCATCCTTAAAAAGAATGAGATTCTAACAGGCTATATACAACACAGATAACTCTGAAGTATCATCCTAAGTGAAGAGGCCAGACACAAAAGGACAAATCCTACATGATTCCCTTATACAAGGTACCAAATTTAGAGACAAAGTAGAATATTCTACAATAGTAGAATACCAGGCGTGGGAGAAACAAGGTTATTATTTAATGAGTAGAATTTCAGTTTGGGAAGATGGAAAAGTTCTAGAAATGAATGATGATGGTTGCACAACAACGTGAATGTAACTTAATGTCACTGGATTATAATTTGAAAAAAATGAGGAAAATGATAAATTTTATATGATCTATATTTTGTCACAATAAAAATGCAGTAACAGAAGAAAAAGAAAAAGTTAACACTTCAGTTAACTTGCAAAATAAGTAAAATCTACATCACCAAGATAATCTGGCATCCGTACCTTTCCATATTTCTCCTTTTAGCTCTCCGCAGAGCTACTATGCCTTCTTTTGCAAGAGCATCTAAGGAAAAGGGGTCAATTCCCTATATGAAAAACAAGTTAGTTTTAATAGAAGTCACCTTAAAAATAACAAGGAAGAATAAATTCATTTACAAAGCCAAACTTCATTCTCACCTTTTGATTAATAACCACAAATCCTTTATCTGAATCACCACAGACTTTCTTTTTCAGTTCTATTATTTTTTTAACTCTATCTTCAATGAATTTTCTTTCGGCTTTTACAAGCTTCTCTCTCTCTTCTGCACTCTTGTAAAAAAAGCCAGAATTCACTTCTCTATTAAAAAAAAAAAAGTTAGGGGTGGGAAAATGTTTATTTTTTGAGAAGATAAACCAGCCTAAGAAACTGGGTTAATCCTGAGATTTAACAAATAGTTACCGAACTCCAATCCTATCCCTGGAATGTTGTCAGAAGTTATTTTCCGTGACTCACCAAAACCCAAATGAGGCATTACTATCCTTAGAGTAATCTCACAAGTGACTTGCCCAAAATACCAAGCTCCTCCACCCCTCTACTCCATTTGTAAGGGCTACAGACTCACGTTTTTTCATATTCTAATGACACGTTGCACGTGAGGATGTATGCATCTTCTAATCTTTTTTTCATATCAGGATGCCTTGCCCCATGGTCCAAAACAAGACCTCTGATTAAGCTGTTAAAATACATAATAATTTATATTGTTATTGATTTCCAAATGCTATATAACATATGCTAACGAAATTCAAACACTGAATTGAGACTGTATTGGTAATTTTCACAGAATTTTATTTCTCCAGTTTCTGAACAAGACTTTTGGGTGAAACCCAGGCACGTTCAATTATGGAAAAGCAATATCCAGAACATAAAAAACACAACTCATTCAAAAAAAAGTAACAACCCTTATCTTGTACAGAAAATTCTATAGAGAAATAGTTGCAAATGGTAGGCTATTAAATTGTGATCACCTCCTTTAAAACATATTTCTTTTAAAGTTTCTTTATTCAATTTGAGAGAGAGAGAGAGCATAGCATGTGTGCACGAGTGGGGGAAGGGCAGAGAGAGGAGAGCAAGAATCCCAAGCAGGCTTGAACTGCCAGCATGAGCCTGATGTGGGACTCAAACTCACGGACGGTGAGATCATGACCTGAACTGAAACCAAGAGATGGAGGCTGAGCCACCCAGGTGCCCTTAAAAAATATTTCTGAACTTGGTCACTGAAATATAACACATGTATTTTAAATTCCCCAACAGATGCTTTGTATCCCACAGTTCAATAAGTCACTGATGTAGCTCACTTTCCAAAATCATTCTGACTATAAACACATCATACCCGTAACTTCAAGAGGAAACACTACTGAGCAAACTAAATACTCACTTAGGCAATACACAGGAATTCAAAGACAAACAGAAATCCCCCACAAAAACCGAAACAGATGTACCATAAAACGTGTCTGTAAATATGTAAACATACTTTAAGGATTTCATAGCATCCTACCACCTACCTTGTATCAGTTTCAGATTTATGTTTCATCTCCATGATCTCAACCATGAAGAGGTCAATAGGTTCATCTTGTTTTTTAATGGCCAAAATGGAATCCACCACAGCCTACAATAGGAGCATAACCATTACATGAATTTGATTTGCAGAAGTACAGACACTTATGTTGCTTGCTCTTCAGAGAAGTGTAGTTTCTTTAGTCTCTGAACTGATCTAAGCCATTCTCTAGAGCTAACAGAATACATTATTTATAAAGGATTGAGTCATTTACATTTCTCACATCTCAAGTTAGAATTATGTAAAGAATCACTGACATCCCTACTATTTTATTAAAAACACCGATGACAGATTTTTTTAAATAAATAAAATCTCCATTTTATAAACCTTTAATGGAAACTCTGGTTATATCTTTATAACCTGGTCAGGTATACTATTATTTGATTTTCTCATTTTACGTTTCAGGCAGATATCAGCTACTCAGTGCCAGAAAAAGGAAACTACTTATTTCACATGTATGACACTGTGAATTTTTAATTTTTTTTAATGTTTGTTTTTTTCGCCTGGGGGGGGGAAGGGGAGGATGCAGTGGAGAGAAAGAATCCCAAGTAGACTCCCAATGTCGACGCAGGGCTGAGCCAAAATCAAGAGTTGGAAACTCAATGGACTGAGCCACCCAGGTGCCCTGACATTGTGACGCATCCTGTAATTGGAACTAGGAAATAAATCTTCAGTAAAGGAGTACTGTACCAGACAAATGTCATATTTAACATACCTCTGTTAAGACATCAGCAAGTTCAGCATGCACTTTAGTACGCAGAGACGTTCTGGCCACATCTATAAGTGTTTCTCTATCCATTTCTTTGCTCACTTTGACTTGTTCCAGAAACTGAAGTGCTTTTTCCTTTGCAGCTTCAAATCCTTCTGTTATTATTCTGGGATGAAGACCCTACAAACATACAATTATATAACCATCTCTAACACTGCAGTTCTTCAGTTAGATGACAAAGTTAATTTTTAAAGGAATATTCTGGATCATTCATATACTTATAATGTGCTGATTTTTTGAATACATTTAAAAGGATAAACAGCCCTTTCAATGCAGAGGAAAAGAACAGTCATTGCTCTAGCACAGAGTCAAAGCCAAGGGAACTATAAAGCACACTTGGATGTTCACTGTGCAAACCACAAGGAATAATGCCCCAAACTCAAAACTGTCCTCAGGGGGACCATTTATCTTTTCAATTCACATCATTTACTAACAAAAACAAACAGGGAGACCAAGGGTGTGCTTTTCCTCTCTTCCAAGGAATTTCTTGGCATTAGATCACTACTATGGTTTGCTTTAAACTTCAAACTACTCAGGGCTAAAATAAGTTGTGTAATTCTTATTTAAATTTACATTTTAGTTGGCATTTTCCTTACAAATATGCCTAGTCCTGAATATCCGGTTTCTAGATCTCAACTACTAATCTATGTTACAGATACACATAAATCATGTGTAATGTCACTTCATTAAAAAAAAAAAAATCCTGCAGTCCAAGGAAGGCTGTTTAATCTGTCCAGAATCACAATAAACTTGTATAAGATGAGGATATAGTCTCTGGTTCCAAGATTTAAGCCCTCTGCTCTTTACATTCTATTATACTGCCTCACCTACTATTAACACTTCAAATGATATAAATAAAATTCAGATTTTTTGTTTACATAAACTATCACAGAAACACAAGAATCATGCATACTTCAGAAATGTAGAGATCCGCTTGTTTCAGTAGTTCTCCAATGATCAGGACATTGGATGTGGTACCATCACCAGTTATGTCATCCTGGGCTGTTGCTACTTTGGCTATTAAGGAGGCTGTTGGGTGTTGAATTTGCTGGAAATAGAAGAAAAAAATTACTTAAATCCAAACAGTCCAAATAAATATACCTTAAAATGTCTGAAGGGCCTCCTTAAATGCATCTATTTGGATAAATTGCCCAAGTGTTCAGTTACATGCTGTGTTGACTTAAAACTCACCATTAACTATTTTGCACATCAATTTATAGCAACAAAAACATTTTCACATATAGATTTGAGTAGATTATCTCCACTTTACTGAGGAGGAAATCTGAGGCTTAGTTAAGATTTATTGAAGGTGTGAGTTAACAATTAATAGTCAGAAATAATTCCAAATCCATGCATGCTTCTTTATGACAAACCTACGACTCTTCTGAGAATAAACTAGGTTCCTCCTCTTTTTTAGTGTATTTTTTACGTTTATTTTTGAGAGAGAGCAAGAGAGTGAGCAAGCAGGGCAGAGAGAGGAGACACAGAATCCAACACAGACTCCAGGCTCTGAGCTGTCGGCACAGAGCCAGATTGTGGGGGGTTCGAACCTATGAGTAGAGAAATCATGACCTGAGCTGAAGTCAGATGCTTAACCAACTGAGCCACCCAGGTGCCCCTAAACCAGGTTCCTTCTAAAATTAAATCCCAGCAGCCTCCAGGTCAGTTGGAACTGAACAAATAATTAAAAAAAAAAAAAAAAAAAAGAAAAAGTTCTTTTAGTAAAGATCATCAGTGAATGCTAAATCACTGTAGAAAGGTTTTGGAAGAACAGGATATTCATTATGTCTCCAACATCACCCATATATATATATATATATTTTTAAACTGTTTTATTTATTTCTGAGAGAGAGAGAGAGAGAGAGAGAGAGAGAACACAGGGGAGGGTCAGAGAGAGGCAGACACAGAATTCGAAACAGGTTCCAGGCTCTGAGCTAGCTGCTAGCACAGAGCCCAACACAGGGCTCGAACCCACGAACCATGAGATCATGACCTGAGCCGAGTGGGATGCTCAACTGACAGAGCCACCCGGGCGCCCATCACCCATATATTCTTAACAATGTTCCTGTACTGCTTTTGATTTTTAAATCTCCTTATTCTCCAGTAATCTAGAACAGTTCCCCAGTTCTTTTGGGGGCAAGAATATTACATGGACAATACTGTATAATTCTCACTAGATTCATGTGCTTTGAATTTATATTGTATCACACAATAAAAAATGCAAGTAAAAAAAAAGTCTCATAGATATGGCTTTTCTGACATCAAGTTTAAACTATGACTCAAAGTGTTGTCTGCTAGCACAGGTCACCACTTAGCCAACTAAAAACAAACTAAAACTAACCTCCTCCTAGGTTAGCTAATCCTTACTGAAGATGCTTACAAATATCAGCATATTGGGGCGCCTGGGTGGCTTAGTCGGTTAAGCGTCTGACTTTCGCTTAGGTCATGATCTCGCAGTTCATGGGTTCGAGCCCCGCGTCGGGCTCTGTGCTGACTGCCAGCTCAGAGCCTGGAGCCTGTTTCAGAGTCTGTATCTCCCTCTCTCTCTGACCCTCCCCTGCTCACGCTGCCTCTCTCTCTCTCCTAGAAATAAATAAAACATTTAAAAAAATTTAAAAAAAAAAAAAAAAAACAAATATCAGCATACTGAAGGCACTGTACACTACTATCAAAACCCTAAATTTTATTCTGAACTCAAAACACAGGCAAGTCATTTCCTTTTCCTGGATTGTAAGTGCTAGATTTTGGAAACATAGGGAAGAGTAAAACAACTGCTCCTCTCAACAGTCTTATTATATTGTTGGGTTAGCGATAGTAAAGATAAAAGATAAAAAGAGTTTTATCTCCTCTTCAGCTGGAGGTAGAGACCGACCACACAAAAAGTTTTAGAAAAAGTAGCATATGAATAAAAAAATAAAAAGTATAGCCATGATATTTTACGCCAATCTGTGTCAACTGCTCTTAATTTTCCAAATTTTAATAGAGTAAATTTTATTTTTTTAATGTTTTTTTATTTATTTCTGAGAGAGAGAGAAACAGCATGAGCAGGGGAGGGTCACAGAGAGGGAGATACAGAATCAGAAACAGGCTGTCAGCCCAGAGCCCGATGTGGGGCTCGAACCCGCGAACCTGAGATCATGACCTGGGGCGAAGTAGAACACTTAACCGACTGAGCCACCCAGGCGCCCCTAACAGAGTAAATTTTAATAACTACAATCCTTTAACCAAGGACTTACCTGGCAAGAGCAGGGATTCAAAATTGAGTTATCAGACTCCCCAGGGTTCCTCCCGCCATTGTACTGTCAGTACTATCACTTATAATATTCCTTTTCTACTTTTCCTCCAGAAATAGTGATTTCTCCTATTTTGAGATGAACATAAAAAATCTTGCAAATTAGATGTAATACGGAAAATCAAGACTTTTTGACCTAGTATAGCAGCCTCTCACCATTTCATGAAGCAGCACATTGCCATCTTTAGTAAGCTTGATGTCTCCAGCACCAGAAACAAGCCTGTTCAATCAATGGGCAGAAATGAATCACAGAGTGACTTTTTCAATAGAGACCAAATTAAGAGTCCATTCAAATCGGGCTTTACCCATATCCTGGGGGGACTTGGGGGGGGGGCATGCGGCTGGTTCTCTCTACCCAGTAACAGAAATGATGCTGTGCCCACCCCCTCCCTTCACACACACCCAAAAAACAGTCGGCCGAACCCTTAGGGTTGCTGGAGTTCACGGAGCGGAGAGCGCCGCGCACGCGGGCAGCTTTGTTCTCCGCAGAGACGGCATCGGTTATGAGGAAACAGCCCGGGTAGGAACCAGGGTCGACCCGAAGTATGCGGGTTAAGTAGGGCCGTAGCCGCGAGCAGAGGCCTGGGGGCGGCGGGCTCAAGGCCGCGGTCCCCGCCGCCATGCCGGCGACAGCTCGAGGTGCCTGGTGCCCGCCCGACCCCCCTCCCCGCCGGCCCCGCCTTACATCTTCATGGTGCCCTTAGGCCCCAAGTTGGTCCTCAGCACGTCCTGCAGCCCCCGGGCCGCGCTGATGTTGACCGCTAGTGCCGCCTGGGCCCTGGCCACCTCGGCCTTGGGGTTCAGGGTCTTCACGGCCGCCATAGCTAACCACTACAGGAAGAGGAGGAGACCCGGCGTGCGGAGTGCCCAAAGCCGGCTCAAGCGTGGCCTGGAGACGCCACCCGGGTCTTCTGGAAAAGTCGGGCGCGTCCGGCCCGTCCCCAGCGTGCCCGCGCGCTGCTGCCATTGGGCCACGAGTCGGCCAGCGCCGCTCATTGGCTCGCGGCGCCTGCGGTCCCGCCCCTCGCGGCGGGTCCCCGGCGCCATTGCGCACGAGAGGGCCATGCTCTCCCGGCCGTAGGGCGCGCAGTTTTCCGGTGTCGCCGCCAGCCTGGCCCGGCGTTGCAGGCCCGGGGCCTGGGGACGGAGGCGGGGCGGGGCGCGCGGCCGCTCTGCGCCCGGCTGGGCCTGTGGGCGGCGCACTGGCCGGCGTGACTGCAGTGTGGGCCGCTGTTCCCTAGAGGTCTCTGGCCGCGGGTGTAGGGTTGGCTTCCCCCCTCCCCCACTCGCGCGGTTTGCTCTGCTTCCTCCCCTTGCTGCTTTTCTCCCCGTCACCAGTGTTTTCTTGACTTTATACTGTGCGCCTGCAGGGCTTCTAGGTGCTTTGGCGACACAAAAGTGAATCTGATAAGGGCTCTCCCCCAATGTTCTAAGTGTTTTAAGCCTAGGGAAGATGAAGAGCTAGAATGCAAGGTAGAAAATGCTCGATGCGGGGCGCCTGGATGGCTCAGTTGGTTAAGCGTCGGACATCAGCTCAGGTCATGATCTCGCGGTTCGTGGGTTCAAGCCCCGCGTCGGGCTCTGTGCTGACAGCTCAGGGCCTGGAGCCTGTTTCAGATTCTGTGTCTCCCTCTTTCTGACCCTCCCCTGCTCACGCTCTCTCTCTCTCTCTCTCTCTCTCTCTCTCTCTCTCTCTCTCTCTCTCTCTCAGAAATAAAACATTAAAGAAAATTCTCGGTGCCTTTTTTATCAAGCTGCAGGATTGGGGCGATGCGGTTGAAGAGAAGCATGTAAAGTTCCACCCTTTGGACTCGGGACTGTGCTGAGGCCTCAGGCTCTCCAGGCAGGTTTTAAAGCTCAAACTTGATGGAGTACTGAGTGGTGTATGTTCTTTGAGAGGACTCTCGCATCCAGCACTCCCATACCATATTAGGTATTCAGAAATGCTTTGTAAATTTAATTTTTTATAAGTAATAACGAAAATTGTTAGAACTCAAAGGTGCCAAAGGGTATCTGGTGAAACGTATGCCCTCTGGTTCAACTTCCTTCAGACAAGCACAATTACCATTAAGATACTCTGAATTTCCAAGAGGTTTTCTGGATTCATAAACTCATGTGCATATAACTATAAGCATCTTCCCCACACAAAATGTCAATTTATAATACACACTCTGGCATATATTATACTTAAAGTATCTTAAGTGACGGTACCATCACCATGTCAGTATGTATAGGGATTCCTCGATATTAGCGGCTGCGTGATATTCTTCGTAGGAATGACAACATTAACTAGCCATCTACTGGTTGATATTTAGGTTGTTCCCCGTCTGCCACTGAAGCTGCAGTGAGTATCTTGGTGTATAATGCTTTTAAGTGGATTTGTATAGTTGAGAATCATAAAAGCATATATATAAATTTGAGTAATAGCATTACACAGGAGACTTGGTTTACTTGCATGCAGATTTATTTAGTGTTTGAGACGTTGGGAAGACATAAGCAGAGATGAAGATTGTGTAATTTCAGGCATGTGCTTGTAGGTAGGAAAAGGGAGTGGATCTCCTGAGGTATAAAATTGAAGGGGGCACCAAAAACTCAGTAATTGAGATCAATAAGATTTTAATGTATTTTTTTAAGTCAAAATTAATACAAGAAATCCACAATGAAGAAATACGCATCTCCACTAACATCATACCAGGCCTTAGAAAAAGCCTCAGCAAAACAGAAGGATCCACATGATCTCTGTAGAAGGGATCTATTTGTCTCTTTCATTCTTCTAGTCTCCATTATCACACTTGCAAGCAAATTAATTATTTTCATTATATGATACAAAAGAGTGTAGCAAAAGAGTGTTGCCTGTATGCTAATGTACATATAGAGTAGGAGAACTTTAATATTTTATTTTCTAATTATTTTTAATGTTTATTCATTTTTGAGAGAGAAGATCTGAATTGGGTTCTGTGCTGACAGCAGAGATGTGCCTAGAATAGGAGAACTTAAGACTATCTTTGGAGGGGCACCTGGGTGGCTTAGTCTGTTAAGCGTCCTACTTTCGCTTAGGTCATGATCTCGCGGTTCGTGGGTTCGAGCCCCGCGTCGGGCTCTGTGCTGACTGCCAGCTCAGAGCCTGGAGCCTATTTCAGAGTCTGTATCTCCCTCTGTCTCTGACCCTCCCCTGCTCACGCTGTCTCTCTCTCTCCTAGAAATAAAAAAAAAATTAAAAAAAAAAAAGACTGTCTTTGGAGAATTTCAAACAAGAGGTCGTGTTGTGGGAGCAGATCCGTTTCAGTCCTTGATGGAAGAAATGGCGGTGGCAGCAGATGTTTAGCTATTTGATACAGGAGAGATTTCAATAAAGAATAAAATTTTAAGGAAAGAACCCTAATGAGGCAAGGTAGTGTATTAGAGTCCAACAATTTGAATTTGAATTCTAGTTTTGCAATGTTTACCAGTAAGGTGACCTTGGACAAGTTACTAAGCTTTTTTGACTCTATCTTCTAATCTTTAAAGTAGGGCTAAGTGACATCTTAGAGAAAATTAAATGCAACTGCATGTGTAACATGCTTTGTGCCAGACATGGCGGATGTTTAGTAATTGCCACTTCTGCTAATATTAATATAATGTAATTAAACTATATAGTTCTCATAGTACCTTCAAATGTAGTGTTTCATTTGATCCTAATATGAATCCTTTCAGTTTAGTAGTGTAGGTATCATTAAACCAGTTTCATGGGTGATTAAATCAACACAGAGAGAGGTTAAATGACCAACAAGGTCACTCTGTGTTATATGCAGAGAGATCCAGAAATCTAGATTTCACCTTTGACTCCTTCCTTAACCGACTAAGCCACCCAGGCGCCCCTATTTTTTCCTTTCTTATAAGTATACCTTTTAGATCCTTTTATTGTTTTTCTTGCATTAATTAGGACTTCTAGTACAATGTTGAAAACGAGTGGTGCGCCATAGCATTCTTGCCTTGTTCCTGATTTTAATGGGAAAACTAGTTTCTCACACTGTTAAGTATGGTTTTAGCTATAGTTTTTTTGTTTGTTTGTAGATATTCTTTATCAAATTGTGGAAGTTCTCTCTTATTCCTAGTTTACTAAGAATTTTTATCATGAATGAGTATTGTTGTATTTTGTCAAATGCTTTTTCTGCATCTATTGATATGATCATGTGATTTCTATTTTGTAACCTGTCAATGTGATGATTACATTAATCGATTCCCAAATGTTGAACTAGCTTTGTATGTCTTAGATAAATCCCATTTGATTGTGGTACGTAATTCTTTTTATATGTTGTTGGGTTCAGTTTGCTAATATTTTGTTGAGAATTTTTGCATCTGTGTTCATGAGAGATACTGTTCTATAGCTGTCTTTTCTTCAGATGTCTTTGTTTTTGATATTAGGGTAATACTTACCTCATTGAATGAGTAAGAAGTAAATATTTCCATTTCTTCTATCCCCTGAAAGAGATTGCAGAGAAATGGCATAATTTCTTCTCTCAATGTTTGGTGGAATCCACCAGTTATCCCATTTGGGCCTGGTCTTTGATTTTAGATAGTTATCAGTTATTGATTGAGTTTCCTTAATGGATATAGGCTGGTTCAAATGGTCTTCTTTAAAACATTTTTTTCATATTTATTTATTTTGAATGGGGGAGAGGGGCAGAGAGAGAGGAAGAGAGGGAATCCCAAGCAGGCTGTATGCTGTCAGCACAGAGCCCACCATGGGGCTCAACACCACAAACCTTGAGATCATGACCTGAGTCAAAATCAGAGTCAGATGCTTAACCAAATGAGCCACACAGGTGCCCCTTCTAATTGTCTTTTTGTGTGAGTTTTGCTAGATGTGTTTTCTAAGACTTGGTCAGTTTCATCTAGTTATCAAATTTGTGTGTGTAGAGTTGTTTATAATATTTCTAAATTATCCTTTTAGTGTCAATGGGATTTGTATCGATGTCCCCTCTTTCATTTCTGATATTTGTAATTTTTGTCCTCTCTCTCTTTTATTTTTTGTTTAGTTAACCTGACTAGAGCCTTAATAATTTTATTGATTTTTTTAATGTTTATTTATTTTTAAAAGACAGAGAGATAGAGCATGAGCAGGGGAGGGGCAGAGAGAGGAGACACAGAGTCTGAAGCAGGCTCCAGGCTTCGAGCTGTCAGCACAGAGCCCGATGTGGGGCTCGAACCCACAAACCGTGAGATCATGACCTGAGCTGAAGTTGGCTGCTTAACCGACTGAGCCACCCAGGTGCCCCAATTTTATTGATCTTTTAAAAGAATCAACTTTTGAGTCTGTTGCTTTTCTGTATTAATTTCTGTTTTCAATTTCATTGATTTCTCCTGTAATTTTTGTTTCTTCTTACTGTGGGTCTGATTTGCTCTTCTTGTTCTAATTTCTTAAGATAGAAACTTAGATTATTGATTTTTAAAATCTTATTTTTCTATTCTAAAATATGCATTCAATACTGTAAACTTCCCTGTAAGCACTGCTTTTACTGCATCCCACAAATTTTGATAAATTGTGTTTCATTTAGTACAAAATATTAAAAACTTTCTCTTAAGAGTTCTTCTTTGACCATATGTTATTTAGAAGTGTGTTGTTTAATTGCTACATTTTGGGGAGGACTATCTTTGTTATTGATTCCTAGTTTAATTTCATTGTGGTCTGAAAGCAGACATCATATGATTTCTATTGTTTGAAGTTTGTTAAGGTACATTTTATGGTGCAGAATGTGGTCTGTCTTGGTGAGTTTACATGTGAACTTAAGAAGAATGTTCCACCTTTGTTGGGTGAAGTGGCATATAGGTGTCGATGATAGCTAATGGGTTGAAGGTGTTACTGAGTTTAACTATGTCCTTGTGCAATTTACTTCTTCATTTAGTAAATATCATGAACTTCTTTATTAGTAGGTGCATTTTTTTAAATGTTTTA